CCTCCTAGTATGGATGAACTGATATATTGGTACAAATGTGAATTATGCACCTTCCCTTAAGGGAATAAGCTATACCAAGTATAAAGCACTTTTTAACTGGTGTAACTGCATCTACACTGGGGGAAAGGAGGTTATACCTCTTTAAGTATACTGATATAGTTAAAGCAATGCAATTTGTATGTGTAGACAAGCCATTGGGAACATCCTTCCCTCTTTTCCTTGCCTCACTACTAGGAAAGTGACATCAAAAGAAGGCACATGGATTTCCCCTCTCTACTTCATTGCTGTGAGGAGAGATGGGGATGAGATTTGTCCCCCCCTTTGCTGGGCGGGAAAGAAGGGAAAAGGGATTGTGACTTCAGAGATAAGTCAGGCTGATTTCAGTTTGCTTGAATGCTGCAGTCCTATTGATCGAACACAGGAGGCCCACAGACAGTATTCAAGACGGGCATTTTCAAGATCACGAGAGCACTGATTCACTTAAATCCAAAACACACCAAGACTTTATTGCATATTTACAGGTAGTTGGCTTTCAAATGCCATTATGCTGAACAGACCTGGGGGAGAAAATCTTCCTAGTACAGACATCAGAAATTAGACTATGGAACAAAGAATGTGGTTATACCTGATAACCAGCCGGGTGTATTGCTTCACTACTCAAATAGCACATAGCCAATATGGGAAGACATGAGAGGTGTTCAAATTTTATAAAACATTCTGAAAATATACAACTTGTTAATAAAACCCTGCAGCAGACGCCTAAGTAGCTTCTTTATAAGTGAGGGCAATTAAGAAAGAGTGGGTCATTTAAAAAACGGTAGTATTTCAAAATGAAAGGGAACTTAAAAGTTGAGATTTCTGGCTACAGTAGATTTTTAATTTTATCTCAGTCCTTGTACATCTTAGAGACAGGTAGTTAGCCAGCAGCTGGAATCTGCAGGTCAGTATTCCTACATCACTGCTAACTATAGCTGAGAGGAATAAGTTGAAGCCTTATTTTCATTTTATTTTTTTCAAGTATTTGGAGCCAGGGTTTTGCATTGGCAATGGTGGACAGAAAGCACATGAGGTGAGTGCAAAGACAATTTAGTGGCAATGCTTAAGCCATGGACTGGCAAGTAACTTGATCTCCTTACACTTGCGCTCCTGAAATTGGGACATGAACTGAGAATGTCCAAGTACACAGCAGAGAGATATAGCTGACTTGTTGAAACACCATACATCAGCCTCAAACCCTTGCTACATATGACCTCACCATTCTCACCTGGCACAGATGCCCCAGACAAGAACAGGATCTTTTCCACATAAAATGGATGATAGGAAGAAATCACTAATTTCTCTAAACTAAAGTGGAAAGTTGTTTTAATAAAGATGGATTAAAAACAGCTGGATAAAGAAAAAAACAGATAGAAGGTTTGAAAAGAGAAAGTTGATGATTTGGAACAAAATCAACATGTGTAATGAAGCACAGGAACAGGAAAACTGAGCTAAGAAAGCAAACAACCTACAAATTCTGGAAATCCTGCAAAATAGCCCTCGTGGGCTTCATTAGGGAAGTTTTTGCAGTAAGTTTAGAAACTTAGATGAGGCAAAAGGTCCTGTGTACTATGAAAACGGTTTTAGAATCTGCATGGGAGTTCAGGTGGGGAAGGGAGAGCACATAGGCATCATGACTAATGCTGCCAGTTTGTCACAGAGGTCGCAGAAGTCACAGATTCTGTGACTTTCCGCAACCTCTGTGAAATTCCGCAGCTGCAGTGACCAGTGTAGCTGACCCCATGGCTGCCTGAGCAACTTGTCCTGGGGCCAGCCACACCAGACGCTGCTGGAGCCGCCCCCCAGCCAGCTGCTTGGGCAGCCCGGGGGGCACCTGCACCGCCGCTGCTCAGAGGCCCTGGGCAGCTGACCCCGGGGACCCCCAGAGCAGCAGCAAATGGGGCTGGCCTCAGGACACCCCCAGTGCAGCAGCGCCCCAGTGCAACTCAGATTTAGTCATGGGCATTTTTAGTAAAAGTTATGGACAGGTCACAGGCCGTGAATTTTTGTTTATTGCCCGTGACCAGTCCATGACATTTACTAAAGATACCCATGACTAAATCTTAGCCTTAGCTATGACCATAGTACTCCAATACAGTGGGGGGGAAAGGCAGATTTTTAAGGAGTGGCTGGGGCAGGGCCTTGACAACAGGGAAAATAAAAAAGTTCATTCTTTCATTTTCTTTGGCCCCAGGTTGTAGAACAAAGTCAGGAATCAGATAATACAGAGCTCCCCAAAGAAGCAACTGATGCAGCCATCTTATTCCCAGGGAAGTTAAATAGAGAAGGGACACCTCATATCAATTTTGGGAAATGAAATAAGGCTCTTGGACAAGGGGCAGGGAAGAAAGCCAGAACAGGATTAATCCTCTGTTCTTTTTACATCAAAGACATAATGATTATAGGACAACCACACTCCATTTAACTTCTGTTATTTCTTCTTCTTTCCCTATTTTGATGTCTGCAGATAACAGGTTTCTCAGTCACCATTTTCCCTTGGGAGACTTTATAACGGTTAAAATTGCTTTGCCAAATAACTGAAATAAAACACAGATGGAAACAGGGAGAGAAGTCAATCTCTCTCAGCTAAGAAGAGTTGGTAACACAGTGGAGTTATCTTCTCTTTAGCCCCCCAAAACCAAGGACACTTTCCTTTAATAATGCAAATGAACTGGAGCGTACCCAGTGTCTAACAAGTTTTGTTTACTAAACTTTGGGGCAGTCATTTCAGACTACCCTCTGTAATACCGAATGAACATTCTGTATTTAACTAGATGCTTATCACAAAAGGTATTTTAAAAACCCTTCCTGTTATCTTACTTTTCCCAATCAAAAGTTTGCTTCCTTGGAAACAGAAGCATAGGCAGAAACTAGCAGTTGAGTTAATTTCACATGTGAATGTCTGGTTCTCCTGTTTCCAAGAAAATGGATAGGGATTGGCAGAGTAAGGGGTTTTAAATGCTATCTGGGTGCAGGGCTTCACTGTAGCCTCTCTTTTCTTCATCTGAAATCCCCCTCCACCCACCTACCCCATTTACATCAAGATTAGACTTGAACGATCACCTGTAGCAGCAGCAGCAATGTTTTCTGGCTACTTGCTGAGATATACAGATATAAGCACCCATTTTTAAAAATAAAGCCAGAGATTTGAAGGAATTTTTGACTCTAGTCTACAATATTTCAAATTGGAGCATAAAGTACTAAGGGAAACGTCTCAGACAGATACTTTGTCCCCTCCCTACCCTGTCTCCCCTCCCCCCATCCTGTAGTGGTGTATGGGTTTGGGACAGAATATTGGCTAACTTGTTCCATTTGATGTGGCTATGCTGAATACCAGCCCAGCTGAAAGCTTTGCTAGTCAATCAGTTACTCAATAGGCAGTTGCCTGTTTTTGTAATGAGAAAGGGCTGGAATATCTGCTGAGGTGTCGGGAATACAAAATAGGTATATTGACTTCATAAACATCTTGTAATATAAGAAAAGGGAGGTCAACATTTGTGCCATCCAAACTTGACAATATCTCTAATTTTCTAAGGTAACTATAGAAAAAATGGTATTAGGGATACATCTAAACAGCTTACTCAACCACAGACAGCCCTGAACGAGTGAAGCAGAAACGTAACATATTAGACTCCCCCCCACATTCCTTCCAATATGGTTTTGTGACTGTGAGGACATCAAATCCATATTGTCCTTACAAAAAATTAAAGGATCCAATTTCTGTAAGCTGTACTGTCTCCTAGAAGTAATGAACAGCCTGAAGCTTCTAATGAAATACATCAGAACACACTATAACAAAGACACTAGACAAAAAATGAAGATGCAAGGCTTTAGAAATATGCAGAAAACTAGCTCAAAAATATTCTCCGTTGAACTGCAGTAGTTTATTACCCTGTGGGGAGGAGAGCCGCCACATTCCACTCCTTTCTATTTTGTGACTATGTTTGTATATATAATTATGGGTATGGCCTCATGTGAGCCATTGACCTCAATGTTAAATCCCCTCTTGATCTCTGGGACATTTTACAGGGTAGGAGTACCTTCATTTATAATGGAAGCTACCTGCATAAAACTTTCAAGCACTGAGGAATAAGATCCCAAAATTGATACATTTCACAGGCTGATCTCAATACAAAAGTTATAACTTGTTTGTTCCAGAACAGAAGAGTCTTATGAAAAGTCTGCAAGTTATTTCCACAAGTAAACAAATTGACATAATTTGGGGATAGAGTTTTCTTTTAATGTTCCCAAGAAACACTAATTATGAGAGAAGTTATACGTACACATCCACAAAAACTTTCTGAAGAATAAAAATCTAATAGAACTCTCCGAAAACCTTTCCCTAACACCTATTAAACTCCACAAACTATGTAGGTTTACGTAGTTTATTGTATGTCACACTGAAATAAAAACAAAAATAATTCCAAAGTCCTATACAAATATAAAGAAGAATAAACACATTTTAACTTGGGAGGTTTTCTTTGATACAAATCATCTAATTATTTTCCCCACTGTGGTGTTGACACATGGCCACCCGAAGAGACATCTTGGCATCAGCACAATTACAGAATGCATGCTAGGAACTAAAAGAAAGTCTCTCCCTCTTTCAGGGAAGAATTTTGCTTCATCAACACAGTTTAAATTGTTCCTCGGACATTTTCTGCTGTGTACTCTCAATTTCACTCAAGAAAAAATTGTTATAATTTACAATAAGCAAATCAATCTGAGGAAGGAGAAAGCAGCAATTTTCACAGTCAATATCACTTTTGAGTAATAATTTGCTATTTTCATGAAACCAGGATTTAAAGAGAGCTGAAATAAAAGGAATCAGGTACAATGCAAATAAAACCACAAAGTCACTTTGAACTTCTTCCCCAAAAAGAATATTATGAAAATTATGATCACAGTGAAAATACGTTAATAAGAATAATTACTCAGGAGATGCATATATATCTATGACCTACCTTGTAGAAGGGCTCCATTTCTCTTGAAAAAGGTGCTTCCTGGCCAAATGGGTGGACCTGATGTGCTAAAGGTAACAAGAAATAAGTGTAAAGAAAATCTTATTTACATTTACTCATTTACAAGTTACTATTTTAATGACGACCTCTCCTTTTAATGTGGTATCAACTTTGTCATGTTTTTACTTTAAAACAGGATCCAACATTCTCATTATTTGATAAGTTGATTTAAGATTCACATTTAATTCACAAGAAAACATTCCTCAGCCTAGCCCTCCAGCCTCACATTCACTCACACGCTAATTTAGAGAAAGAAAGGCAGCATAGGTGGGGGGAGTCAATTTTTTTTTTTTTTTTTTTTTTACTGCATTCACAATGCAACAAATATCCATTGGGTTTTTTAAAAGGCATCTACTACTGGAAAACAATATACTTTACAGCCAAGCATTTAATCCGAACAACCCACTTTCCCAGTTTAAAAGCAGTAGTATAAAAAAGGCTTAGCTAACTACTGTACTGTTTCTGTATTTTCATAGGAATATTACTTCCATGAAGAATGCCATGCATCAAGTGACATCTCGTATCATCATTAATGATCACATTAATAAGAATATAACTTCAATTGATACGGACAGTAAGTTTAGGAGGCTGGACAAGAGCCATGATTTTAAAAGAGACTTATTTTATTAGTTATTATTTATTATGTGGATTGAGGTAGCGTATAGGGCTCCAGTTATGGACTGGGACTCCGCTGTGCAAGGTACTGTACAAACATAGAACAAAAAAGGGGGCCTTCCCTGAGGAGTTTACAATATAAGCATAAGGCAGGAGACAACAGTGGATTCCAACAGATTGGGAAGCACTAGGAAACAGTGAGACAATGGGCAGTGATACTGAGATAGCAGTGGCCTAACAGTTAAGTTTTTGGTAGACAATTTTATGGAGGGATTATGGATAATGAAGGTAGATAATGAATTTGCTTGGCAAATATTTATGGGGAGCTCCTCGCAAGTGCGAGGGCCAGCAAAGGAGAAAGCACAAAGGTGCCGGACTGAAAATTAAACAAGTTGGCAATGAAGGCTGGCATCATTTTCAGAGTGGAGGCAGGAGTCAACATCTTGACAGCCTACAACAGATGACAGATCAGGCAGATGTAAGCAGTGAAGGGCCTCGAAAGTGAAGACAAGTAGTTGTGTTTGATGAGATAGAGAAAGGGGAGGCAGTGAAGGGATGCACAAAGAGGGGTGAACATGGTCAAAGCAATGAGATAGGGAAATGATGTTTGCAGCAGTGTACTGACTGCAAATAAGCAGGGCAAGATTGCATTTGTTAAGTCAAGAGATGAGGAGGTTGATGTAGCTGAGATGAGGACGACTTGGAGACAGGTGTAATTCATACAACAAGCTGCTACAGTGGGTGTCGTTATCCTCTAGTTCAGGGGTCGGCAACGTTCGGCACGCGGCTAGCTAGGGTAAGCACCCTGGCGGGCCGGGCCAGTTTTATTTACCTGCTGACGCGGCAGGTTCGGCCGATCGCGGCCCCCACTGGCCGCGGTTCGCTGTCCCGGGCCAATGGGGGCGGTGAGAAGCCGTGGCCAGCACATCGCTCGCCCGCGCCGCTTCTCGCCGCCCCCATTGGCCCGGGACGGCGAACCGCGGCCAGTGGGGGCCGCGATCGGCCGAACCTGCCGCGTCAGCAGGTAAATAAAACTGGCCCGGCCCGCCAGGGTGCTTACCCTGGGGAGCCGCGTGCTGAACATTGCCGACCCCTGATCTAGTTTGAGTAAGTTCCAGTCCATACAGAATATTTCACACACATTTGTGTTTTGCGGGAGGATTTAAAAAGAAATTGTGTGAAGTGCTGACTCAGAACTTGTGGTGCTTCCATAGCTGCCCTACTCAGAGACCAACATTTGAGATTTTTTTTCCCCTCCACCAAAATTCAGTTTGTTACAGCCTTAAACAGGTCAAGAAAACAAGCATCCTAATACATTGTGATCTCTAAACAATCTGTCAAACTGTATCTAATTATTCCTCACAGAACACTACCTACATAACTAACAGCAGCTTCAGCACACAGGGTACTTCATGAGAAACGAACAGGACCTATGACAAGAGTTCCAGCCAAAGAGTTTAAGGAAATAACAGATCTGCATGCAGGTTGACTTAGACTTTCAGCTTTCTGAGATAGAAAAATAAGAGTATTATGCAGCTTAGTGTGTGGAGGTCTTTAAAAAAAACAAACAGATCCTGTGTGAACACTAAAAAGCCACTGCACTTTAGTAATAGTAGGGGTTACTCTATTTGCCAAATAGTCCCCTTTCTCCGTAGCTGTGCAATGTGATTTGTGCAAGTTGGTGCCCTCAAAAGGCACCTGTATGCAGTGATGCTTAAATAGTTGTAGGTACTTGGGGAACCTTCCGAATGAAAGGCACTAAATACAATATAAGCTTTTATTATAAACTAGAAATCTCAGGTATGTTGATAGGGCTTAGGCATGGAGAGCATTTTAAAGCACAAACTCTAGGGGGAAAATCTTTAAAACAAAGAGATATGTGGTAACATTCTAGATGGAAGAAGAAAAAAAAACAGATGTGTTAAAGAATCTTTATTATAAAGTCATGATATGGGCTGCAAAAAAGTGCATCGAAGCTTTTAAAACAACAACAACTAAATAACCCCTTACCCCCCCCCCCAAAAACCCAGACATATATTTACTACACTGTAAAGTCACCTTGAAACAAGCACCCTGGAAGCATAAGTTACTAGGATACAAAGAAGTTCCCTAGATGCAAATCCAAACACAAATTAAAAAAACAAACATACTTTTCAGGAAGTTTAAGATATAGCAACTTCTGCTATATCAGTTAACAATCCACCCCCATCTCCTCCATCTTTGGATGCACGGTCTAAAGAAAGCAACACACCGTTTCTGTTCATTACTTTTTTCTCTCTTTTTGTTTGACTACTACCACACAAAATTCAGTGAAATGGAAAACAGATGCCTTTTGTTACATTTGCACCATTAGCAAGGTTCTGGTAAAATGTCATGAATAAAAAACACACTACTTTTCAACAAAATTGTTCTGCAGAGACTTTTGTGCTAACATATACATGTTTCACTGAGTGACTCATTTAAATAAAATATTAATATATGGTCTGTAAAAGAACTCAAGTCAATAACCTGGGAATAAAAGCCTTTTATAGCGCAGGAGAGAATTAACCAAAATAGTATTACAGAATAATTGTTACCAGTGTGAAAATAGTGTATGTATATGCATGCACATGTCCAAACACAGATTGATCATGCATGCATATGCACCTACCTACCTACAGGTGAATGACTACCAACATCCTTGCTGTACACCTTACCTTACAAATCAGGGCATCGATGCTTCAAGGTGTTGGACACTATGAATTCACATGGAGATAAATGACAGCTCCTTGTAGGACTGGGCCCTAAGTTTATAGGACCTCACTGAGTCCAGAATCATCTTTGGGGTTGGCACATGGCAAAGTTGCAAAATGATGAGGAAAATACGCTGCACAAACTTGTCCCGGACAGTGGGCTAAACGTGACATTCCCAGCCTTATATAAAAGGTTCCCATGTAAAATTCAGTGGAATCCTGAAGTGAAGTTTTAATGACATTTTCTCACAATCAAGCTATTAGAGTAACTTGGGAATAGGAAGGGGGAGCAGAAGAGATATTAACTTATATTTTTGACTAGACATAATGTCTACGATGTAGGAAACAGAAAGCAATGATGGATTTACCTTGTATTTTCCTGAAACTGAAAAAACCCAGAGACTCAGATGAAAAACCAATCTGAGCCAACCTGAGCCCACTGAGATTGAGAAAATTGAGTGCAGATCTCCAGGGAAGAAATTTGGAAATTCAAATGTGTAAGCAGCTTTACACAGAGAGTGAGACAGATCAAGATTTTCAATAATAAGCCTCAGTGTTTGCAGAACAGAGCTCACGTTTAACTAAAACTGGTAATTGATGGATAAATTAGCTTCCAGTTCCCAAACTCTTACACACAAAGTCTCAGGTGGTATTAACTGTTAAAATTTAGTTCAATTTGAGAAACGAGAGTTAAACAGTCTCTCAGTTTTAAAGTATTCAGTGTTTGCTTCCTCCCTGTTTACGATGAAGTCAACATTTGGAAAAGCTCACCCTACCCACGCTACCTATGATAAAAACACCCTTTGGGTCGTCCAGAGTATTTTTGGGCTGCATTTGGTTGTCTATATAATTTGTAAACTACTTCAGGCAGAGACTATATATCCTTCTGTTTTCTGCAACAGTGAACACAAAATAGTAATATAAATGCCATAGAGTATATAAAAAAGTCATTTGTGACCAGCATATCCTAGTAATAATAATGCTACTTTTATACCACTTATTCTTAAGATTTTTTTTTTTTCACGTGTTCAACAGGAGTGAGATCCAGTTGTTTAGATTCTCCTTGAATAAATCCTCCTCTGGCTACTAGAAATACTGAACTTTTAAGTAAAAGAATCCCATGCTACCATTTAGTGTGAGGTCCACTTCAAATGGGACCTAGTGTTCAAAAACTAGAAACTGATCCAGAAAGCAAGTAACAGCTATTTTAAAGTTGCTATGATTTAAAGCCATAAAAAACCCTTCACTGACTTATTATTTTAAAAGTTTACAGTTTAATGGATCTGTGAAAGGATATGCTTTAAGTTTGTCTTATTTAGAACACTCTGCAAACCATACAGTTCTACAGCATTCAGTATCAGGTTTTTCTTCAGTATCACAAAATTGTTTTAATGCTGTGCTCTAAATACAACAGAATATAAATTAACATTAGTCAGAAATACAAACTGTGAAGTTGAAATACACAATACTTGCGGAGCTCACTAAAGTAAGAGTTTGGATAGGACAACAAACGTTGTAGCTGGGAAACAACTCTGAGGTTCTAAGAACTTCTGGCCTAATGCAGATGTGCTATATGTAGTCAGTATTAAACTAGAACTAAAAGGTCTAATCAAAGTAACTATCCCATTAGAAGATACAAATGTAGTTTTGACTGGTTGTTT